GACTATAAGTCTAGATCTATAATAGGTGTTTAAAGCCTTAAGCCGTAAGAAATTGACCAACTACAGTCAAATACGAGGAGAATAATTGATTGTGATTCGTCCATTTCTTACGGCTTGAGACCGCCGGAATTAAAGCTTAAAAATCTATTGTAGATCCAGAGTTATCGATCAGGAAAGAATATGGCGCGATCAATGCAGTCGAAATTTCATTCAGGCGTAATATAACTTAAATGTAACGGAACGGAAAAAAAAGAATTAGCCCGGATCCTCATACGGGCAACAGCGCTTTGACACTGAACGCTGATTGGTGAAAACCAGGTGATAAAGGTAAATTTTACCCCCGGCTTTTCACCAATCAGCGCTCTGTGTTAAAGCGCTGTTGTATGAGGATCGGACTTACTTTAAGCATCGACGAGATACTTGTAAAGATCGACATCCTTACGAGAATGCGCGTCCTTGTGAATATTGAAGTGATTAAGAGTTAAAAACTAATAATATTGTACTAATTTTATGATTTATTAGTTTAATAGACGTATTTATGCATTTATAACTCAACAACACTCGATTTTTTTTAAATTGTGATTTTAGTGTTATCGTCAAAGTTTGATTATCAACCGAGATGATAACTGCAGATACCGACGAGATACTATTAAAGACCTACGGCCCTAGGCTTCTATTCTTTGAAAAGTTTCGCCAGAGAGAATCTCTGGTATTGCATATAAAAACTAGGGAAATGCTATAATATATGTGACGTATGCTATAATATTTCTCTAGTTTTTCATATGCGATACTTTTCAAGAATAGGGGCCCTGGAATAATTGAAGAACGATGATGTTATCGACAATTAATAAAATTTATGATTATTAACATAAATATTTCAGTGATACATTATTAAATTCGTGATTTTTTATTATATAATAGCTGTATAAATAAATATGCATACTTTTAATGATATAATATCTTATATGTATATTGCCGAAAAATTATAATTTTTCCTCTACAGTTATCATCTTTATTAAACTCGGGTGATATCATTAAAATCATAGTTTTAAATAAAAATCTTATTAACAACATTATTATGTTTTAAACATATATACATGTCTACAAAATTAATAAATTATATGAAATTAGTACCATATTACTATAGTTTATTACTCTTAATAATTTAAATTTTAACAGGCATGCGAATTTTCATAAGCACCGAGGGTCTTTAACAGTATCTCGTTGATGCTGCAGAGAAAAATTGTAATTTTTTTGCAATATAAGATATTATAGCTTGAAAAATATGCATATTTATTTATGGAACATTTATATAATAAAAGAATCATGAATTTTAAAATGTATTAGCCACTCAGCAAACGAGAATGGATTAAAATGAATTGAAATTTTTTTCTATTTAAATGCGTATTTTTAATAGCAAATACTTTTTTTAGGATTTAATTGGATTCAATTGGATGCAATTGGATTGAAAAACTGTATTTTCTATTCAAAATTTTGAATTGAACAGTATTTACAATGCACAGAAAAAGCTAATATTATTTTTAAATTAAAAGGCATAGAGATATACTCCATGCAATTCCTATAAATGAATAAAAATGCATTTAGGATTGAAAAGCATTCATTTTAACATTCGTGAATCAATATTTCTGAAAATCTGAGTCCATTTCAATTCATTTCAATCAATTCTCATTTGCTGGAAATGACATCAACGACTATCGTTTAAGAGTTACAGAATCGGCCCCTTAAACGAATCCATTGTTTCTATTGTGCTGTATTGTACTACAATGCTGCCGGGAATTCCCCACTTGATATAACCGAAAGATTTTTTCTGCCTGGCAAAGAGAAAAGGAAGAAGGGGT